CCCACCATGGGGGCGGCCATCGGAGCCGGACCAGTTGCACAGGGGGGGTTCAGACCCAGGGGCATCGAGCTTAATGTGAGCTTGGAGGGTACTATGGTGTTGAATGGAGCTATAGTCAATGAACGCATTCTACATAGGATTTCTCTTGTCCAGAGGGGATAGGGCAGTGTGCAGTGTGATTGCGATTGCATCATCTGTGGATATCTATTGGGGCGGTAAGCAAATTAAAAGGGGGTCTAGGGTGACAGGTAAGGTAGAGGTGATATGATTTGACTAGTCTCTCAAAGAAATTTCATTATGACAGAGGTGAGTGCTACGGGGGGAGATAGTCATTTAGTTCAGTTACCTTTGCTTTCTTGGGTACAGGAACAATGGTGGCCATTTTGAAGCATATGGGAACAGCAGACGGGGAAAGGGAGAGATTGAATATGTCCATAAACACACCAGCCAGCTGGTCTGCGCATGTTCTGGGGACGCGGCTAGGGATGCCATCTGGGCCGGCAGCCATGCGGGGGTTAACATGCTTTAAATGTCTTACTCACGTCGGCCATGAAAAAGGAGAGGCACACAGTAAAGTCCTTGGTAAGGGCTCGTCGGGGCACTGGTTATCCTCAAAGTGGCAAGAAGATGTTGAGCTGTCTGGAAGTGAGAGGTCGGTGTCGGCGAGGTGGCTGGTTTCTTTTGTGGGTCCGTGATTGTCTTACACCCGCCACATACGTCTTGTGTCTGAGCCTTTTGAATGCGACTCCATTGTTCTCTATATTGATTTTTTGCAATTTTAAATTTGGCCTTCCGGAGTGAGTAGCTACACTGTTTATATTCTGCCATTTTCCCAGTCACCTTGCCATGGTTAAATGTGGGGGTTTTCGCGCTTTCAGTTTTGCGCGAATGCTGCCATCTACCCACGGTTTCTGGTTAGGGTAGGTTTTAATGGCACAGGGGCACAACTTCCTATACACTTCCTGATAAACTCAGTCACCTTTCATGTATTCGTCTAAATTATTTTCACAAGCTACCCGGAACATATCCCAGTCTGGTGATCAAAACAATCTTGAAGCCGTGGATTCTGATTGGTCAGACCAGCGTTTAATGTCCTTAGAAAGGGTTTCTTCCTGTTTGAGTTTCTGCCTATAGGAAGGGAGGAGCAAAAGGATTTATGGTCAGATTTGCCGAAAGGGGCTGGGGGGGGGCTTTAAACCCTCCGGAAGTTCGTATAGCTATGGTCGAGGATTTTAGCAGCACGAGTACAACAGTCGATTGTTGATAGAACTTCGGCACCTAGTCCCCAATTTGGCTTTGTTAAAATTCCCGGCTACAATACATGCCGCCTCAGGATATGTGGTTTCCAGTTTGCATAAAGTCCAGTGAAGTTCTTTGGGGATGTCGTGGGTATCGGCTTGAGGGGGGATATACCGGTGTGACTATAAACAAAATTATCTTGGGAGATAATACGGTTGGCATTTGATTTGTGAGGTATTCTAGGTCAGGTGAAAAAAAGTACTTGAGTTCCTGTATCTTACTACAAATTTCACCATGAATCGTTAATCATGAAACACACACCTCTGCCCTTTTGCTTCCCGGAGAGAAGCGAGAACTGTGAACCCCTTTGGCTGGACCGATTTTGACAGAATATCCCCAAGACCCATTTTCCGTGAAACAGAGTATTTACAGCCTTGATGTCTCTCTGGAAAAAAAATCCTTCCCCCGGAGTCGTTGACCTTTTTAACCAGAGTCTGAACTTAGAAAGAGTATATTTGGAAGCGGGGGGGGTGTGCGCCCCCTAAGTCAACCCAGCGGGCCCCGCCCCAATGCCTCCCCTCTGCCGCGATGTTTTGGGTACCCGCTGGAATCAATTAAATTTGCCCTGTGGAAGCAAACAAAGGATTGCTTCGGGAAAGTCGTTTCCGGGTCGTAATGCTGGCGAGTTACCGCCGCTCTATACCCAATTTTTTCCCGGCGTTGAATGATACAAAACCTTTTGAGCTAATAATGTAAAAAATATACTAAAAAAAACAAAAAACCGCAAAGTTTCCTAAAGCTAGTCACATCTTGTTGCCGCTAGGAAATGGATGGGCCCGGGAAAGATGCCCAAACAAATTTAAAAAGTGCTGGGATAAATTGAGCTGCAAAAAAACAAAAAGCCTTGCGCTGTGGAGGCTCCCGGGACCTTCCCTAGTTCCCCGCACTCCGTGCAACCCAGTTTCCAAAAATTCTCTTGCGGAGCCCTGCTCCGAATAAGAGAGGAAGGTGCAACCGTTTATAAGGTGGGGGTAAGGTCGGGCCACTCTTCCCTCACCACTTCAAACGGCCTTGCCATCGAAATCCCCTCGTGTGTAATAGTGGGGCTCCTTTGGGGGGCAATAATCAAAGTCTCTAGTTTTTTCCATTCAAAAAAGGGGACAATTGGCAAACTGCCACGTGTGGGGGAAGGGGAGAAAATCTTCAGGGCCAGGCAATTTTTCACATTTCTTCAAGACCTGAGCGGGTTTGCATCACAGTGGAATGTTTATTTCTTTCATAAATCCCCTCAGATGAATTTTTTTTGGGAAAAAAAATTGTGAGGTTGAGGGTCTCGGATGGGGGAACCCTAAAAAAATTTAACTACATTCTTATCGGCTATATAAAATTTTTAATGAGCATGAAACCCGTTTACGTCTTAGATGCTTTTGACCCATTAGCTACATGTCCCCCATGAGACCCCTTAGAGCTAAATTTTTACCATGAAAAAAATTAGGAGACAAGACAGTTCGGTTTGTCAGGCCCTTTCATTCATTCCTTTTTTTCTTCTTTTCTTCTCACTCTAAAAGGGGGGGAGTGTACCGCCAAGTCTAGGTCCAAAAGGTCCTAAAATGTTTACCCACACTCCCGGGGACTTTTTGCATGATCCTTTTTTTACGCTGTGCTACTCGTGTTATTATCTTTTCTTTGGCTGGTTTATAAAAAACCTTCTAGCCTTGAGAAAATACCTGAGGCAAATAGTAGCTTAAAAATTTGCTATAAACTGTAAGTCCTGAATGTGATTAAATGATTTATTTTTAGGGCAAAATAAAGGACTGCTATTTAAATTTTTATAGCTTTTTAAAAGTTTGTGGTTCATCGCAAATCCTTAAAAAACTCAGCGGGTTAAGGAAGTATGAAAAAAAAGAAAAAAGGCCTGCACACTGAATAGGTCCCAATTACCACTTTATTGACGTTTCACCCAAAAGTCTTCTCAGGTCAAAAAGAAACAGTGTTGGAACGTATGTTGTCACAAAAAACGGGTAATTGGTAGATTTCAGTGTGCGGGCCCTTTTCTTTTCTTTTTTAATTACCCTTGTCCTTTCAAAATTTTTTTATTTTGTTCCTGAAGTAGGGTCCTACAAACCAACATCGAACACGCTTACAGTGGGGCCTATATATGACAGAGGCATTTAAAACGTTTTTTTTCCTCTAAAGTAAAACCAAAATGGTTTAAATCCTTTATTATTTCCAAAAAAAACATAACTGACTGTGAAATTTACCAAGGGGTTGCATAAAGTTTGTTATACTGAGCCGCCATTGGGGAGTGCAATGTTTTTCAGACAATTACAAGCTATATTGCCATCTCGGGGATCACATGAATTAGCTGTGGTTCATTTGATAGTCAAAAGAACTGAAAAAAACTTTGTAAGGGGGTTTACTCAGGGGAAATGTTCATTTTCAGGGTGGAAAATTAAACCCAAAGAAGGCAGTTTGGGAATAGAAAAATGGTTCACGGGAATCTGGAATTGCTTTATGTGATGAAGATTTTTTCAAAACAAAAGCTAGGGTTGAGTCCAGTGATACAGTTTTATTGCTTTGAAATAAAATACTCAGTGGGGCCGGGCAGAGTTCCAGTGGGGGAGTATCCAGCCGTTTCCAAAAAGAGTGAGTTGAAAAAAAAAACAAACGTATTAATTTGTGGGAACGATACAGATACCCTACATTGTTTATCAAGAAAAAAGGTATGGTTTTTGTGCAAATCAGTTTTCCTTTTTAAATTTATTGGAGGTGGTGGGCCGGATGGAACCTGAAAACCCCTTAAAACTTACTTATCCCCTACTCAAAATTTAATGGGCAGCAAAAATTTTTTAAGTCTTGCATCCCTTTTGTATCCATTACACCTACTCTCCATGAGACCCCATAGGCAAAATGTCCAAGAAAAAAAAAATTAAAAGGGCAAAATTTGACGTTTCGTTTGCTGCCCTTCTTTCATTCCTTTTTTCTAATTTCTTTTTGCTTCAGGGGGAGAGAGGATTACAGTTGAAGTCAGAAGTTTACATACCCCCTTTACCCAAAATACATTTAAACTCAGTTTTTCAAAATTCCTGACATTTAATCCATAAAAACCCCTGTATTAGGTCGTGGGATCACCACTTTTTTTTTAAGATTGAAATGTCAAAAAAAATTGAGAGATGATTTACTTCCTTTTATTTTTTCTACTTTCCCCAGGGGTAGAAGTTCACATACACTCAATTTGATTTGGTGCATGTTTTTAAATTTTTTAATTTGGGTCAAAAAATTTGGGTAGCCTTCCACAAGTTCCCACAAAAAGTTGGGGTGAATTTGGGCCCTTTCCCCCGACATAGCTTTTTAAACTGGTCAGGTTTGTAGGCCCCTTGCTCGCAAAGCTTTTTGTTTCCCCACAATTT